CCCCAAAACCCCAAAACCCCAAAACCCCAAAACCCCAAAACCCCTTTAAATTATTAAGTATTGGCTATAAAATATTCTTTACATAATTTCAAGAGGTCATAAAATTTAAGACATGTTTAGAAATATTATTTGCCAGAACTCGAGACAAATGTATAAACTTGTTAATCCAGAGGTGGTCATAAAAGGCACTAAATTAGGAAGATATCCCCAATGAATGTCTCGCAATTTATATCACAAGGGTTTGTACACAACTCCATTTAGAACTATTATTTTCCAGATTAAGACGGAAAAGGAATCATTATACAATATTCTTGAAATAAAGCCATCTGCATCACAGGAGGAAGTCAAGAAAGCTTTTTATGCACTTGCTAAGAAGTATCACCCTGATTTTAATCCAGATGAGAATGCCGGAGACTCTTTTAAACGGGTCCAGAAAGCATATGAGGTGTTATCCAACCCACTTACCCGACAAACTTATGATATTGAGCATAGATTTAATGAAGATCTCTCTAATGATATCAAGGATAAGGTATACTCTCAGAAATTAGGAAGGAAGAACTACTATGTCTCCAGAGATATCAAAGATTTCTACTATAATCAATGGACTGACTATAAAAAGCCTGATTGGTACCATCCCTACAATGGCTATGATGTCAGAAGCCAATATCTTTACAGGAAGAAACAAGATGAGAGAATGTGGAGCCTTCCTCCTTATTTAGATATTTTCCTTGAAAAAGCTGAAGAGAATAGAATTTTCATCTACCTTCTTCTGTTCTTTTTAAGTGACATGATTAGAATTTATCTGAACTATCATAAAGTAAAAAGACAGCAACTAGAGCTGGAGTTACTTGAACAAAGTTTTTCACTAGATGTCTTGACAGATGATGATTCAGAAGTTATAGACTTCAGTGATGATGGCAATGATCAAAATCTCTCTATGAGACTTGCTCTCAATGATTACATAAATCAACGGATAGCAGCTAACTCAAAGGAGCCCAGTACAGCTCAAGAGGAGGGTAAACAGCGGACTCAATCTGATTAAAAGTATTGTGAATATTTCAATCAGAATGCCTTTAATTGGGGTTTTGGGGTTTTGGGGTTTTGGGGTTTTGGGG